ACAGGACACACTGTTTTTGCGTCTGGGGGTGTGCACACCACTGCTCTGCAGGCAACCGGGATCACAAACTCGGCAATAACAAATCAAAGCAGCAAAGTTTAAAAGGGAAAACATTATTTGTAAGAAAGAAAAGAAGCGGGGGCCAGAAAGCTACCCAGTAGGATGTGGGTATCGGGCTTCAGAAAGGTGAACACCCTGGGGCTTTTGTTCTCAGCTTCCTTTTATCATGTTTTGGGGAACACTCTCCCCCTCTCCTGGGTCCACACAACCTGATTAGTCCTCTGGACTGTCACGGATGGACCCCTGGCTCCAAGACCCTAAGCACAGGCAACACTGCCTACTGCACATTCCTCGCCTGCTTGTCCTTGTCAGGGCTTTATCTCTGGGGTTTATGGGTTGGGTGAGGGGCCTTACATACAAGGTTGTGATTAAGGGGATGTGACCCTAATGAGGGAATATCTGTATCTCTCTAGATATAATGTATAGGTGTGTATTTTATATGCTAGCAAGAGCTTCACGTGGCTAGGCCTTCTAATTCAGGCTCCGTGCTATTGGCCCTCCTTTGTCTTAATTGCTCTCCAGTGAAGCCTTCTAGTCAGGTTAGCCAGAAAACCTAACAAGGCCTTTCCCTGCCTACAGCCTTTCTCAACCCTACACTGTCTTTGCTTTACCAACTATCCTTTCCTGATACTCTCAAGCCTTTGATGACATCATTATTACGCATTATCCATTAATTCAGGCACTCTTTCAGACCAAGACAATGAGATACACCGTTGTTAGGTCTCAATGGCAAGATGTATCTCGTTACTTGGCTTACCTGATCCAGATGAGTAGATTCAACATAGTGGGTAGATGGACCAAAAAAAGGCCCAAGGATGGGGGCAGCAATTCAGGTAAATGCCCACTGGACCAAGTAGGCTTTTCTCTGAAATATCAAGTATTTTTGGCTTTATGAACACTGTATGGCCTGTCAAAATAACTTGACATTGCCAATAGCGTGGAAGCAGTTATATGCAACACAAAGTGAGCAGGCATATATCAAGATCAAAGAACACAGATCTAGTGGAGTTTGCCAAACTCTGAGAACTACTGGGGTCAGAATGGAAAGGTGAACTGTTATCCCCAGATAAATGCATATTGCTTCTAGCACTTATCAATGGTAAAAGATAATTATTTTGTAGGTTCTCTAGAGCATACCAAGTTTTAGGGACTAGATTACTAGATTGGTGCCAATAAGGCAACGTGGTTTGTGTAAATATGTTGTCCAAACTGGTGAAATGAATGCAAAGGAGATCATCCCTTCATTTTTCTTAGTTACTGCCTTTAGGGATGTTTTAATGGACAATAGATGCTCTTTGACTTAAGTCATATCCTGATAACCCTACTGAAAGGTGAAAGTTATTGTCAAGGGCATTTAATGCAGGCTACTGCTTACAGCCTACTGCACTGGTTGTTCACCTGTGTAATCAATCACTTGCTGGCTACTGAATTATGCTGCTGCTGGAGTGCTGACACATTGCTAGCTTGGGAAAAGATAAAATTCCAAACCTATACCACTTTCACACACTGTAAACTGAGGACTGTACTTTAAAAGGAGGAGACAGCCGGGGATTTAGCTCAGTGGTGCCGCCTGCCTTGCAAGTGCAAGGACCCAAGTTTGATCCTGGGTACCAAATAACAAAACAAAAAAAAAAAAGAGGGGAAGAATCCTACATAGCCACTACTTGCTTTTTATCCCGTGACTGTATAGACTATATGCCTAGTTGCACATACTTGGGGAACTAAACCACAGGTCAAGTTCCACCAAGCCAACTGTAATGTGAACTTGTGCCAAAATACAACTTTTTCCTGAAACTCCCATTCTAACTTAAAATCACAATGGAATCTTACTACCATATTCCTTTGTAATTACAAGACAGTATCCAGTATTTCTGGGCGAGTATGGCTATCTCTTCAACAATTAAGTGAATGGCCACAATGCTTTGGCAAAGCTAGGATCAAGTTCGGTCGTTTAGGTTTCTGGCCTTTAAAGGTCCTGGGGCTTATGAATCATGCAAACCTATGCTCACAAAAATTGGGGGAGGAAATGGTATTATTATGCATCCTAGACACATCCCAATGTAACTTCATCCCTGTGACTCAAAAATATGAAATCCTTTTTAGCAGTCCATTTCACAAATCAACTTACCCACCCTGTTATACTGGCTTCCTAGAGCTTTAGTCACCACCTGACCATTAACTTGAAATCTAATTTCATCTCTTCCCACAGCAGTAGCTTTCTTGAAATACAAGGTGGTCAAAAAATACATTAAAAATATCAGTCATTAATCACCCTCAATACTCCCCCCAATCCCCTGCTTTGAACACCTATTCCATCATCCTTGCCACTTTCTGGACATTCTGGAAGTCCTTTGATTAGCGTCTTCAGGTGCACTGCCATGGCTGCCTCAATGTCTTGAATTGATATAAAAAATTACCTTCCATGTCTTTTAAACTTTGGTGCCCATGTTTTCACAGGCCTGCCTTTTTGTTGGATGTCACACAGTAGCAACATTTATACTTTATCACACCAAGTAGAGGAACTTGTGAAAAAGGACTATTTTGGCCACACTGTCACTTTGTATGAGGTGTGCATGTATATTGGTTAGAGGAAACCGGGTGGGAATACTCACTGGCAGATGTAGTTACTTCATGGATGCTATTCCAGAATGGTAAGACAGCTAGACACAAGATATAGTACTAATGGAGAAAGGCTTATCACTGTGCTTGTGGCAGTTATTGAAGCTCCTTCACCCAACCCTATCACTTCCATAGTAAATGCAAAACTGCACACTTTTGTAGAGGGTGAATAAGGTTCAGGCCATTCACTGTTTTACCCTTAACTTGCAATCTTCCTCATGGCAGGAATCTTACAACTTGCTCTCAAATGTCTGGGAGCAGATATGCTACTCAAGACTAGGAATTAGAATTTATTCCTCAGTGCCTTTATGTACCTAGATAGTAACTGATATTAGTCCAATTTCAGTAAACGTTTAAGTTCAGGTGCTATCCGGCCTGTGTAAACATCTTGTTCTATTTGTAGGGGGCCACTGCACGTGCCTGACCCCACATTCCACAAAATCCTGGAATTTGAATTACTGAAGGTTTAAAAAATCTTACCCAACTGGGGGTGGTGGTGGTGGTTGTTTCAAGGGTATAGTAATAAAGACAAAAGAATGTAGAATGTATACACTGGTTAAAAACACTGGCTAAAAGAACCACTGGTTTTACAGGCTGGCCTGAGCTTAACTAGAACAAGTAAGCATAGATTAGAAAAGATGGGTATTACACTGCAGATGTGAAAATTAAGTGAAAGAAAGTTAATTTTTGAGTTGGGTCTTGCCATGTTGCCCAGGCTAGCCCTTCTGTTCAGATCCTCTCCTGTTTCCTGAGCAGCTTTGATTACCAGCACATGCCACAATTTAACCTTTTTGGTACCGGGGATCGAACTCAGGACCTTGCGCTTGAGAGGCAGGTGGCGCTGCCACTGAGCTAAATCCCTGGCCCCACAATTTACCTTCTAAATCTTAACCATGAACTCTTCAAGTGGCAGAAGACTGAAGGTGAAACTCATCTCAAAATGTAGACAGTCTAAATAGGACCTGGGTTATTAGAACACGTCAGCCTCAACACCTTCATGGAATGCATCCATTAGAAGTAGTTATTCCCCAGGCCGGGGATTTAGCTCAGTGGTTTCGCCGCCTGCTGCACAAGCGCAAGGACATGAGTTTGATCCCTGATACCAAAAAAAAAAAAAACCAAAGTAGTTATTCCCCAATGTGTTCTGGATCCTGGGCCAATCAGAAGGCTGGGCCATCCATTTTTTGTCTTATCTCACCACTCACTCTCAGGCAATAAGGATGGATCCTTTTCTAGGGGAGTTTAGTGAGACCTACATCAGATGCCAACTGTTCTCATATATCCAATACCTAGGTGCTGGACCACTTTTTATTCCCTAATAAAGTAACTATGAAGCAGTACTATATATCATTCATATGTATATATAAAAATATAAAATCAGCATAAAATTGAGGTTTTCCGCCCAATCTCTGTTACTCTACAACACAAGCTCTAATCTGGACCCAATTCTAAAACTCACATTAAAAGACTTTGAGTGGCTGGCTACCTTTTGCTCCAAAACTGGTTGAGAATGGATCTAGAAATCCATCAGGCCCATGGTAACACTTTCAACCTGCAGGATTAATTAGAATTCTATGTAAATTAAACAGTTACCAATAATCCCAGGCAGACATATTTTTTTTTGGCACCGGGGATGGAACTTGGGTCCTTGCGCTTGGCAAGGCAGGCAGTGGAACCACTGAGCTAAATCCCCAGCCCCAAGGCAGGCATTTTTAAGAACACACCACTTAGTTTTACAATTGAAGGCCTGAAAATACTTCTTTACCAAATTAGAGGCAGAATAACACAACTAAAAAGATTGTGGGGGCTGGAGATGCTGCTCAGTGATAGGGCAAGTGCAAGGAAGACTGGTTTCAAACCCTTTCAGCTACCCCCAAACCAGACAGAATTCCAAACCATAATTACTTGCCTTACATCACAAGGGCTGGAAATAACCTACATGCAAAAGAACTAATTCTAACACCACACACTTCAGCTACCCTCAGACACACGTGGTAGACAAAAGTTAACATAATCTCCATCCCAAGAAAGAGATGGTCATTCCATTTACCTCCTTATCCAATCTCTATGAACTTTTGGTTTTTTTGGTACCAGGGATCGAACTCAGGACCTTGTGCTTAAGAGGCAGGCAATGGAACCACTGAGCTAAATTCCCCGGCCCTATGAACTTTTGATGAATATAAATTTTCTTTAAAAATAGTACAAAGTATACATCTCAACCCAAGAAATATGCTCAATTAGGGACTAAGCTATAGAAAGACTAATTAGAATAAGGTTAGAAGAAAAGCAACACTTCTTTGTAAATTGAGTTGCACCAACAATTTTTCTCTTCATTTTCTTTTATTTAACACAGTTCTCAAAACATTTGAGTGAAATTGGGACTCCTTTGATAAGCAAAGGACCTGAAAATAATATTTAAAAAATGAACAGGCGGTTTTCAGTTCATCCATGACAGGTGGTAATATTCCCTTCTCTTATCCTGTACTGTGAAGCACCCAGGTTAACGGTCTAAAAGCTAGAAGAACAAGAGTACATTTGTGGTGGAATGTATTGTCATTTGCTGATAGCTAGTTGAAATACCATCATCCCCTTTTAACAGGTTTAAGAAACAGCCTTAAGGCATACACAATGTCTAACTCTTAACTCTTTTCTTATTCCCTGTTATACATATACAGATTACATAAAGGCTGACAAATCCACATTTATATAAGCAGTAAGCATTTGCTGTATTGAAAAACTTAGTTCTACTACTAGCAGTACAGAGTTACAGAGCATATTTTTTTTGGTACCGGGGATCGAACTCAGGACCTTGCGCTTGCGAGGCAGGCAGCAGAACCACTGAGCTAAATCTCCGGCCCCTTACAGAGCTTATTTTTAACACGTAGTTGCAGGTATATTAAATATGGTGTTTCACGGACTGGAGGAAAATGGGTGTATTTTCACCTTCGAATTTACTGATAACAAATTTGAATAGTGCTGCTAAGCATCAATGTTCGAAAGGAAAATAAAAATCAAAACTGTTTATTGTTGCTTTTTGCCATTTGGTAGCATTTTACACACAGGCTTCGATCTTCAGATTACCCTGGATTCAGTAGAAAAACCTTTTAAATGAAGTTTTGTACAATAGAAATTTCTCAGCAGTCAAAATTTAGACTGTAAAAAAATACATGCAAAACATACTTTTCTGAAACCACTTAACTTTGAACAAAGCACTGAACTACACAAATGCAGAATGAAAACAGCATTTCAACTCCACCAAAAGTAGTCATCATAAAAGGTGTAAAAGTCACCTAACTTCACTAGGCACTGTTCACTTTTTAAACAGACAATAAAAATATTGTCCACAAACAATATCCCAGCTCTATGGCAGGTTTCAGAAAGTCTTCATCTTCATGCTTTAGTAGCGACCTGGGAAGGAAGAAGAGAACAAGCATGCTTCAATGCTGAAGAAAAACCCAATGTATTAACTATATGCTATCTCACCCTTAGACAACTACAAGGAGCCAAACAAAGTCCTTCCAGTGAGACTTTCACACAAATGTTAACACTAAGAACCACATAATACATGTTAAATAATAGATTATAGCTGAAGAGTTTAACTCAGTCTCATAGGTAACATTTTAAATCACCCGAATATTTAAAAAATTGTTTAAAATTTGCAAGATGCCTAAAAAAACCTATAATGGTAACAGACTATATTGTACTTATAACATCTATGGATAAAAACAGATTAAGATAGATCTGAATTAACTTACTTTCTTTTTTCAGACACTGAGGATCAAACTCAGGACCTTGGCCTTGCAAGGCAGGCACGGTGCCACTGAGCTAAATCCCTGGCCTTTGAATTAACTTACTGTTTACAAAAGGAAGTTACCCAGTCCTAATATTACAATATATACTCAAAATCATATCAAGATTGAAACTTACGAGGTGAGTAGGATCGAGATCTGGAGCGTGATCTGTATCCTCCACGACTATAGTAAGGAGAAGGTGACCGCCTTCTGTAAAAAGAAAAGAAAAGATCAAGATGTGAAGTCTCTACAACAGCACAAACTAAATGACATAGAGACTATCAAGTAACCCTTTTATCAGTTCCCCAGACCAGAAGGCCCTAATTAACATTTGAAAATTTTGCATTAGGCATGGGGGAATTGGGAAGTTTTGCGAACAAAGAACATTATTAGCCAAATTAATTCCTATAAACATCCCAAAGCCCTTCAGTTAGCTTCAGCTGAGAGTATTTTTGAGTTTCAAGAAATCCAATTTTGTGTGAAGCAATTTTTAACTACCAAAATATTAGTAGGGCAACATCTTTGTGAAACTTTCTACCCATTTGTCCAGATTTTAAATCTTCTCCCAGCATACCTGTAAATCTGATCCCTGTCTTGAGCAGCTCTCCATCCACCTCCTCCACCACCACCTCCTCTGCAAAAACAGAAAAGCACTATTTAGCTTTTTAAACTCCCACAAAGTACAGGAAAAGACCCAATTACTTACAGGTAAAGTGATAAAAATCATTTCTGTAGCCCATTAGAAAATGGCCTAGAGCTCTCCCTGGTGGCTAAACTGAGCAACACCAGAACACAAAAACGTTTCTAAATAAATGGTTGTGTGAATTAAGAATTGGCCTTGATAATTAGTGCTATTTTATACAATTCAGATAAGTGACACATGGGAAATTGTCCATTTCTTAAAACTTTTAATTTCCCTACCAACCCCCACTAAATGGTTGCGTTTAAAAAAAAAAATCACCTCGAAAAAAGAAAAAAGGACCGGGGATTTAGCTCAGTGGTGAGGTCCTGAGTTTGATCCCTGATACAAAAAAAAAAAAAAAATCAACTCTTACCATTGTTACGCTACATGTCTTTTGAGAAATTTAGCTCAATGTTGAAAATATTACCTCCATGTCAATGTATTAGGTTATTTTCTTTGGTACTGGGAATCGAACTCTGGGGTCCTTGCGGTTCCCAGGCAGGCAGTAGAACCACTGAGCTAAATTCCTGGCCCTCAATGTATTAGGTTAATATTCCTGTTTATATTTCAGAATTACTATACAAAAATCCATACCAACTTAACTAGGCACGGTAGTACATGCCTGTAGTTCCAGCACTCAGGCGAGGTAGGATTGCCTTGAGTTCAAGACCAGCCTGAACTACAGGAGACCTTGTCTAAAAAAAACACAAGGGCCGGGGATTTAGCTCAGTGGTTCCACTGCCTGCCTCGCAAGTGCAAGGTCTGGAGTTTGATCCCGGTACAAAAAAAAAGATATAACCTTAAAATCTGGTTTTAACCTCAGCTTCTTCCTAATATGAAAACTGGGAATGCAGTTCAACAACAGTGATTATGTGCAACGCCATAGGTTCAATCCCTAGCACCACCTCATGTACATGTGTGCACGTACATACTATAATTCTATTTTTTGAGGGGTTCCTCAGGGATGTTAAGCAGGTATTCTATCACCATATATCCTTCGCAGAAAAAGCTTATTTTAAAGGCCAAAGCTTGAGTGAAGTGCTAGCTTATAGTGTAACAGGTTGACTCTTCTATGTGGTTACTCACCTGTATGATCTGCTATAGTAGTCCCGATCATCATAGCCACGGTCATATCCTCTGTCATAGTAATCCCGACGGCGTGAACTGCCACTACAAATAATAACATTATCTTCTTTTAAAATTCAAATGGTCTTTTCCTATCCCCCCTGGATATGACTTTTGCTATTAAGACATGGCTCAGCTGTAACATGTTGCAAAGTTCATTTGGATCTTAGGACTATCTACTGTTCACAACCAAGTTCTAGGATATGGCTTGGGCAAATGCTTTTGTTTTATTCTTCTAGACAAAAATGGAGATGACTATAGTGACTAGTGAATGTTAACTGGAAATGAGTACTATTTCTATTTTAGTGCTCACCAATACTGAACAAACACTGCCTTCTCCCTTGTTACAATACAGGTAAACATATTAAATACTTTGGTTAAGTAGGTGCATAGATCCTGACTTTGTATTAAAAATCAATCAAGCCGGGCTGGGGATTTAGCTCAGTGGTTCCACTGCCTGCCTTGCAGGGGCAAGGCCCCGAGTTTGATCCCCAGTAACCCCCGCCCCTCCAAATCAAGCCTATAATCCTAATTACTAAGGAGATAGGGCTGGCTAAATTCATGGCCTGCCTGGGCAGTTCAGTAAGATCAAGCAATTCACTAACCTTACATATTACCAAAAGGAAGGAAAGATAGTAAAACCTCATCTGGGGAATATATATTTTCATGAGGGATAAGCGTCAGCTTTTTTAGAACATGCAATAACTGCATATATTATAACTATAGTAAGTCTCCAACTTACGAAGGAATTCTGCTCCAGGGAAATGTTTCCAAGTTGGCTTTGTTCTTAAGTCTGACAAAGTGAGTCTTACACATCTTTGACACAAATATGCAATGTAAAAATTTCCCACCTGTTTCTGGACATTGGGGCTCTGAATGAGTTCTGTACTGGTGTGTACTATCACGTTTGTAACCACACAGTGGCACAACTATGTCTGGCAGACACGAGAGCTACTTCTGGAATTTATTTGTAACTTGGAAACTTAACGGTATTCCATGTGAGTTTTCTTCAGTAGTATGTACACACTTGGGTGACAGCTATAATAAAGGAGTTCTCTTTCCTACTCCATGTACAGTAACTGAAGCATGTGTTTTCTACCATTTTAACAGAACATTTTCATCGCATATTTTCTGAACAAGTTTAGCCAGTTCGACAGGGGGGAAAAAAAAGGGTAACAGTTTTCTTGGAGAACTGGATATCACACTTTTAATATTGGAAATAAACTTACTAGGTAGGTCTCCCCATGTAAATTCCTGGTGTTGGGGTATGTGGTCTTTTTGTTATAGAGAAATCAACTCTGATTCTACGCCCATCAAGTTCCATTCCATTGGCACGTTCTTTAGCCTTCAAAAGACAAATAATAAATTGTTACATACAGTCCATCCTTGAGAAATGACACTAATTATTGTGTACTGGCCAATACATTTTGGTTGTATTCTTTTAATGCTGGTCAAAATACAAGGTTTACCCAGAACTTATGAGTTGGTTCTCGTAAGTATTTGTGAAAACTAGCCCTAAGAAGTTAAAAGTTTATCCAAAATGCCTGTAACCCATGAAATACTTAGGTCTGACAGTATTTCTGGGTTAAAAGCAATTCATAGCAAATTATAATCTGTCAGCCAAATCTGGTCATCAGACTATTTCTGAATGACCCACAAACTAAGAATGTAGTAGCTGACACCAAGTGAGAATTCTGTAAGTAATAAATACTGAGTGAGCCCAGTCCCTTTTCTTTCCTTATGGCTACTTTGTGGTAAGAATGGCAGAAGTAAAAGAGCCTGATGTATTTACTAGTCAATCCTCAAATCCTGTTGAGTCCTGCTGCTCTGGAAGCCAAAGGCTGGGATGAAAACATCAGAAAGCTTGAATCACACATTCTTTTATCTGGAATATACACTGACTCAAAAATCACCCATTTAAAAAAAAACAAACAAAGGGCTGGGGATTAGCTCAGTGGTTTTGCCACCTGCTGCGCAAGTGCAAGGTCCCAAGTTCGATCCCCAGTACCAAAAAAACCACAAAAAAACAAAAAAACCTACCATTCCAAAGCCTTTGAGGCTTATTTACAATTTTTTTTTGAAGGAACACCTTTTTAACTGCACAGAATTTAAGCTTCTAATTCCAATTTTTTTTTGGTACCGGGGATTGAACTCAGGGCCTTGCACTTGCGAGGCAGGTAGCGAAACCACTGAGCAACATCCCCGGCCCTCCAGTGTTATTTCTTTTAATCTTCTGAAATGCTCAAACTAGTGCTTGTTTTTCGTTTCTGGAACTATAGATTCAAATAATTTCATCTTTTTGAGAGGAAATTATTTTCTGTCTTAGAGCAGATGTGAATGAGGCAACCTAGAAACCTATACTGTCAGTCATCTTGATGAAATCCTAATTATACCTGAAGGATATCTAAAAAGGTTCCTTTTCCAATCTCTCAAAATTCAAAGTCATCAATTATAATTAGTTGTATCTGGCATTTTGTTCCTTTAGATCAAGTTACTCCCTTTATTCCCCTCAAGATGACACCAGCTACCATTTGTATTTAAAGCCTGTAATGTAAATGCTGTGTAACTGAATTTCTTAAATGGCGCACAGATTCACATAATACATTTTCACTCCTAAGGCCTCAAATCCAAACTGAAATCCTAAGAGTTAAATCACTCATTGGTCAATGTATACTTGCTATGAACCAGTTCAGTTTTTCTCTCAAGTTGTAACATTATCATTTCTGGTTATTTTCCATTATAGAAAATAACTTCATGTAAACACTGTGATCAGTTATCCTAAATCAAATTATTTTCATGTTTTATTCATGCCAAAACAATGTTTACAGAAAAAGGAAGCTGTATGTTTTTGCTTCAAAATGTGAAGAACTAAAATGGAGCATAGCTGGTTTTTATCTATCAGCTTCTGAAAAAGTGAGAAGAATCAACTGCTTTAAGTCATACTTTTCTGTTATACTAGTTGCATATCCCATTTATACCATAAAAACTAAAATTGTCCTATCTAAACATTGGGTCATTAGCACTTGGACTTAAAAGATTGGTGGTTTTAACTGTACAAATAAACTTTTACTTACTTCCTTGGCATCATCTACGTTTTCAAAATACACAAAGGCAAATCCTCTTGAGCGCCTAGACTGCTGGTCATATACAATAGACACATCGGCAATGGGACCATATTTAGAGAACACTTCTCTTAAATCTCTTTCTGTGGTGTACAAACTCAACCCAAACACTCCAAGACAACAGTTTGGGTCAGGATTTGCCTAGAAATAGAAAAATATTTCAAACTTTCCATTCACAATAAAAATACATAATGATTACACCAAGAAATTACAAAACATATTAAGTACTGCAAACTTTAAGAATGGGCAGAAAAGACCACGAACAGACTAAATCCAACTTAGAACTAATTGACAGGTGGGAAATTGAGGCTCACATTGGTGGAAAAGCAAACTTTGCATCCTATTTAATCAATCTTAAAATTCACACATCCACTATAAGCATGAATAAGGATAATCAGAACAGCATAGTTCCATCATCTAGAACAAGTATTTACTATGTTCCAAGCCCCCCAGTGGATGCCAGAAATCATGGTCAGTGCACAATTCTATACAGTAGGCCCTCTGTATTCATGGGAGATTGGTTCTAGGACCCCCTGTAGATAATAAAACTTGCTTAAATCTTTTACATATAACATATATATCTTCCTGTACATATCATTACTACAGGGTAAAATGGCAGTATGTGAGCATGCACATGGCCCTAAGGTTCAATTCTCATTGCCATAAAGTTAACAATAAAAGGAAACAATCACTACTTTACTTACAATGCCTACTTCAATGTAAATGTTACATAAATAATGGAAAAGATGGTATTTAAAATACACTGAATGATGAATGGGATTTCGTTAGCTGGGGATGAAGAGAAATGCCATTATAGGATGACAGAAGAAAATGAGTTCTGTATCTGGGTTCTGTACCCAAGGAGTCAACTAACCTCAGATGGAAAATATTTGGGAGGAAGAAATCCCATCTGTACTGAACAGAGACTTCCTGCCACCATTTCCTGAACAATATAGTATGCACAACAATTTATATAGCATTTTTCATTGCGTTCGTTATTTTAAATAATCATACTAATGATAAAATTAAACTTACAAATTAAGCACAGTAAGATTAACAACAGAAATTACACGAATGTGGTCAATAACTACTAAGTGACCTACAGGTAAAGGTAGCATACGTGGTATGGATTAGCTAATCAAAAGGGATGATTAATGTCTTTCCCAGGATGGCCCTTGATTTCATCATGCTATTAGGAATTGAGTGAAAGTTAAGATTCATAATTTATATTCTGGAACTTTCTACCTAATGATTTTGGACCCCAAGTGTCTGAAATTACTGTTAATACAGGGTCACTGTAGACAGCAAGTGTTCATATATGTACATAAATAACTCAACAGGATGTATAGACTTTTAATACTCTACTCAAGTATTGAGTAGAGCTTACACTGATACAATTAAAAAATAAAACAAACCCAACAACTCCACATCATTAACATTCAAGTTTCCATAATGAATTTACTGAACGTTTCCATTTATGTTCTACTTAACAATTTATTAGAGAAAATTCCATGTACTTTAAATTCTCCCCACAAAACCTCCTGGATTTTATAACAAAATCCCAATATAAACACATAGTTGTACTGTACCATCTCATTGGGAACTATCATGAAATAAGTCTTAATATCTGAAATACATTATCCTAAAGTTAAATGGGAAAGTTAGAAGAGCATCTCATAAAGTTTCAAAAAATTCAGAAGGTATAGAGCTAAACATACTAATGCACTAATACTGTAACAGCAATGCCCAATAGGGTTTTAAAATCTGATGACCCAAGTTGACCAGTGTGTCAATATTGTGTCAAGGGATAGCCTAAAATGTACACTGTTACATGGGAATAGTAGTAGTTTTAAATAAGAAACTACCACAAAACACCAAAGAACTGGGTGCAGTGGCACACACCTGTAATCCCAGGGTCCTGGGACACTGAGGTAAGAAGGCTGCCCAAATCTGAGCCCGGCTGGGGTAATTTGACAAGACTGTCTCAAAACAGTATTTTTTAAAAGGCAAGCATACAGCTCAGTGCAAAGGACCAGAGTTCAATTCCCAGTAGGAAGGGGAGCCAGAGGGTTTTGAAACATTATGTAGGGTCAGCCTGAAAGTAACTCATTAATTTCCCCCATCTTACCCGATTCCCAACATGACGCCTTCGAGTAGACATGGGAGAATGGCTGTGGCTGTGGCGTCTGCGATAATCTCGACTGTAAGACCTGCTACGGGAACGTCTATGAGAGCGAGATCGAGATCTTGACCTTGTATAATGCCTTCGAGAGCTTCTCCTGGATCTAGACCTGTAAGACAAAGGCTTCACTGATAAGACCAACTGAAATACACATGGGTTAATTCTTATTACTTTAGAGTTTAATTCCAAAACAGAGGACAAAATCCAGGCATATGCTAACATGGTTACCAATTAAGTGGGATCATTATCTTTCTTCTCTATATATAATCATCACAATTTTGTTAAAAGACCACAATCTCTCCAATGTTTCTTCAAATTAACATGAAAATCTTTAAAAAAACCAAATTATGAAACATAATTATTCTATTAGCTTTGCTAACATTCATCTTTCACTTTCAGAATATCACCCTCTAGTTTTGTTTCTCCCATTATGCTCACCGTTCATTTAACAAAATTAAATCACACGTAGTTTGTCCTGGTTAATTTTTAGAAATCAACGCATGGTTCTTGACTGTAACAACCATATATAAAGCTGCCTTCACCTGACAAAAGAGGTGCTATTAATTATGCTGGACAACAGGCATAAACTGGGGACTGCCCAATGCAAACCAGGATGCACAGCCTTTTCAACATAAAAGTGTATACTGTGGTATTGTTTAATACACACATGTATATAACACAACAGACTACACCTACATATCAAGAATTAGTTACTGAAAGTCAATGTTTCATAGTGTATCTGTCACACTGATAAGCAATTTACTTATTCTCAGGGAATCCTCACAATTCTTGAAAAATGGTACTATTACTAACTCGCCTTTTATAGATAAGAAGCTAAAGTTGGAAAAGCTTAACTAATTTAAGCCCAAGAGAGAAAAATAAGATTTGAACTGACTCCAAAAGCCTAGGCTCTTAATAACTTATATCATCTCTCCTAGAACTTTGTTCATTTCTAGTACTAATATTAAATAAGGCAACAAATGACCTCTCTCTACTTTCCTAGTTTTCAAAGCACTCACCAATTTCAGAGCTATCAATAAACAGAAGAAAATCTCAAGACAGTCTTTCTTACCTAGATTCAGATCTGGACCTGGACTTTGATCTGGAACGCCTGGAATCTTCCTTGGAGCGAGACCTTGCAGGGGTATGCCTTGCAGATTTCCCCGATCCGTGAGCACTTCCACTTCTGGAAGCAGAACGGGATTCCTACACGTAGATGTCAAAAGTTTAATTTGTATACTTTTTGAGCAACTTAAAAAAACAAATAAGCTGCTGTGAGATAAATGGTGAGGGAGAGCAATCTTCTTCCAAAGGTAAGAAAATACAGGTAAGGGCAGGAATTAAGTATACCTGGAGTAATAGTTTCATTGCTCCAAATGACATAGTAAGTAACTTAGCTTGTTCTTTCTTCCACCTTTCTGGAGCAGGGATAAGAGTTAGCTGACCCCACTCCATTAAGAATGGGGTGCCAAGTCAAGTGCTTAAGGGAACTGTCCAAGGACTGTGTTTTAGGAATGTCAGTAACTCCATAAAGACTAGGGTGAGAAATAATCTTTTTAACTATGAAACCTATACTTTGTAACTATTTCAGTCAAGCTGCAATTAATAAAAATTCCTACATCTACAAAACCTTTTAAAAATGCTTTTGATGTTTAAGACCTCAAATTTCAAGCACAATGATCTCAGTTTCAAGTCCTAAAAGTAGAAAACCTAGTGGAATTCAAGGACCAACTAGACACTATCCTGTAAAATTCTTGTCATCTACTCATGGTGAGAGCGCTTTACGGAAACTCAAAGCAATCAGATGGAGGGAGATAAAGCAGAAAGGCAGTAAACTGTGTAGAGGTTAGAGTAGAGAGGTTGCCAAAGAGCCACAGCTTCCTCAGCTACATGGAGATGACCCAGGGCAATCTTTAAGGAGAACAAGTAAACTAGAAATGCCATATAAAGGACATATTAAAAACCAGGACAGATTAAATCAGGAGCTCCTAATCTAGGGGAGGGAAGGGGAGTTCAGAAACTGGGGTAAAGAATGAAGACTAGATGAGTACTGTGGACTAACAGCTTTCCCAATGAGAACTGCAACAGCAGTCAGATAAAATCTTTAAAGAGACCACCAGGAAAGGAATGGCTATATAGGTTGGTCAGTTCAGTGAGTTGAAGGCATGTAGTCAATTAGCAGAAAAGGATCACAAATAATGTAAAGTAATGGAATCAGGAAAAAGCTCCGCAAAGGTACCAATGTATGGAGGACAGTACTCACTAGTTTGACAGCTAAACAAGTTTTCACCAAGACTAAAACATAGGTGATGGTACCATATTGTTCACTGTATGAGGAACCAAAGCTTAAAATTTTCAAATCAAAGTTATCAGAGATCTCCTTTAATAGTTCTTCAGAATACTCGGGCCATTCTTGAAAGGACTAAAAGGTACAGGGATGTTTTAAATTATGGCCTAAAACATTTTAGGGTCTAGACTTGTTTACAGGATGTTCTGAAGAAAAATTTATACAAGCAGAAGAGACATGCTGAAGTCTGAAGTTTAAAACAGGAAAGAAAGAAAAAGTCACAGCCAAGAAAACAAGTTCAGGTCTCCAACTCCAAACTACTCTAGAAAATTTCAAAATACTTTCAAATCATTATAACAGACATGAAATGACACAAAAAAAGGACCTTTTCTCCCCAACTCTCCTCTAACCAATAAGTGAACTGAAGAGAGATGGAAAAGATACCCTTTTATATTACTGACAATAAGGCCTTTACTGCTTAGAAATGGTTAAAAGATGTATTACTGCACTGGGGGCTCCATTAACTAGCCCCCTTGGATTTCTCTAGCAAATGCTCTGAACACAAGACACTTGGTAACAAAAATGCACCCCTCTCCTTGAACAAAGGTCTCATATATTAAAATGGCACTCTAGAAAGAAACGAGGAACTCAAAAGCCAGCCGAATACCTCTACGTATTACAATGCTGGAAAGCTTACTTCATAACAATTATAAGCTTTAATGAAAAATAATTTGCTCAAGGAGAAGAATAGAATACCAGTTTCTCACAGAAGTGGAGAAAAATAATAAATTTTGGTTAACAGAAATTAGCACAGAATTTGACTATAAAAGATGAGCAGGTGCAAAGTTAAGACCCCCTTTTAAGTCCCCTACTTTAACAGAAAATCTTGTTGCAAGCTGAGATGTTTCAATAGTCTGCCCATTAAGAGGAAAGACAGTATTCCTGGCCAAGAAAGAAATCTTAAAGAGGTTTCTTCAAGAAATTCTAGCAGATCAAGGTCAGATATAATACTTGTAAAACCCTAAGTTCACTGAGCCCCTAACTCTAACAGGGTATGCAGATATATTTTGTGAGCATTTCTTAGACCACAAACAAGGTTAACACTGGAATGCAAAATTTCCCTGTCTGTATTGCTACCTAGTTGGGCTGATACCTAAACACCGCCAATCTTCATCCCTATCAGGGTGACTTTCTTAAAGAAGCCCAACACTGCTTATGGTGACCACTTAGCTGGTTGGGAAAATATGCAAAGAATTTAGTTTATAACAAGACCTAAAACGATTAGCCAAATACAAGTGTAACATTTTAAAAAACTGTAATACATGGTCAAACTACAAAACCAGTTGGGAGGGGAAAAAACGAGCTGGAAAAGCCTCTACACATATGGATACCTCAAATTCTACTCTCAGGGCTGACAAATTATAGTAGGTGTTATCGTATTAGAATCCTACCAGAAGAATTGCTTTGGACATTAATGGCTCAAAAGAAAGGGATCATAATCTTAAAGTTAACACACATAAAAGCCAAAAAGTAGCTGAAAAATGCTCAGAAGATCAAATCTTACAGACTGGATCTTAGGGATACATTAATACAATCTATGAGAAACACATTAGGTTAAAATAAAAACCGCCTTCCATCAAAGTATCTTAATCAGCATCTCCCAATTTTGAGAACAGCAATAATCTCAGAACTTGAATAAGATAAAAGTAGAGGGGTGGGGATTTAGCTCAGTGATTCCAGTGCCTGCCTCCCAAGCCCAAGGTCCCGAGTTCAATCCCCGGTACCAAAAATACCATAAAAGTAGAAATAACCATCCAACTCCTGTATTTTAAAAACTAGATGCAGTACAATAAATTTAGAACAGCAGTATGGTAGATTTAGGTGGAGGTATGTACTAAACCTCTACAAGCCTTTTAAAATATAAACCCTACGTTAGTAAATCTGAGGTTGGGCATTCACCATTTTTTAAAAGGAAAGTACATGTGTATGATGCTAGTTAAGACTCACTGACTCAATTTCAGAAGTCATATATAATTACTATCAGATATTTTTTATCTTAGCAAAAGCACCTTCCCAGCTCTGCTGCCCCCAGCATTTACCATGCCCTCCAGATCAATTCAGTCTTCCCTACACAGAGGCTGGTCATCCCCTCGCCTCCTAGACACTCTTAAGACCCAGAGATGATCTGGCCAAGGGAGAAAACAAAAATGCAAGAGATGGCTCACTACCATCAACATTTTCAGCTTAAGTCTACAGCTTCGGCCATATAATCAGCTTCCAATTATTTTCTTTAACTTAGGGGACTAACATTCTTTGGACCCCAAGAATCCATGGGCTTGAATAGATGTATCTATTAACATCACTTTTGCCTCAGATATGTGTTTGTCTTTTAGGTAATTCAATGCAAAATATTATTCATGTTGTCACTGGTTTATTTGTGGCAAGGATTTACAAAGCAACAATTGGGGCAAAAACTGTCCCATAAAGAGAAATAATTTCCTTTTGTTTCCAAGACCAAAAAGCACAAGTTTCACAATGTGACCACAGACCATAAATATTAAAAAAAAAAAAAAAAAAATGGATCCATCAGGTTGGGCCAGGGATTTAGCTCAGAGGCGGCGTGCCTGCCCGGCAAGCGCAAGGTCCAGAGTTCAATTTCAGGTACTGGGGGGGGAAGAAAGGGCCAAGTCACTTTCTTCATGGAGTTTAAGACTTAACTGTCACAAAAAAAATTTTAAAGGTGTCTTCACTTTAGAAAAAGTATGTAGGGCCAGTGATTTAGCTCAGTGGTTCCGCTGCCTGCCTCGAAAGCACAAGGACCCGAGTTCAATCCCCGGTACCAAAAGAAAAAAAAAAAAAGAAAGAAGTATGTAAGGTAATACCCATGGCATTCTCAATTGGAGGAGAAGATAATTTTTTGGTGTGTGCTACTTACTGGGTAGTATCTTATTGTGTGTGTCCCATCTTAACTGTGCGTAATTCTACACCAATCAGCTATTCTATTTAGCAAAAATGAAACAGGAAAATGCAAACTTTGGGGACTGATTTCCTCGGCAAGTGGTAGGACTGATGAACCAGAATAAAGCTGTTTTATAATCTATGTATCTTTAACATCATTACAATAGTTAAACACTGTTAAAAGGGAATAAAACACCTACTACACTATGGCACCTTGAATTAGCTATCCTGTTCACTTGTATGAGCCCTCTTCTAAAGGAAACATTTCAACAGAAAAAGTCATTCAGCTGGAACAAGCATTGAACAGTAATTGTTTGGCACATATGCATCTGAACATTAGAGGGCCTACACATCAATGGTTACAGCTTTCTACTACCACCATCTAGAAAAAACCCAACACTTTTAATTCCAAGAGAAACTACCCTAACTCAGTGCTTTGCTTGGATTTTGGGGGTTTGGGTCCATAACCATTCTGGTGACATTTTTCTGAGAAATTCTAACAGAAAACATTCTAACTACACATTGTCCAGCAGAGAAGGAAAAAGGCCAATGCATTTTAAGAGTCCAAGGGGAGTGGCAGACCATTACTCTCAATTTTGGAGGTACTCACTCATGCCCTAAAATTACCAGTTAGATGAAAGACCTAGGTAGGGGACAACGGGAGGCCAGCTATACCCACTGTGGAGAGTTCACTATGCCTGTTATTTGACTACAAAGGGTTATTTTTTTAAGATTTGCATTTCAATCATTGGACTAAGCAGTTAAAATTAGAATTACCTAATTTAAACGTTTCCCTTGGAAGGCACTTCTTTACCCTGTATATATTTTCTTCTATTAAACAAATAATGCATGCATGTTTAGCAAAATATACAGGGACACATAAACAGACTAGTAATTACTTAGCGTAGTGCTTTCTGATTCCAGATTACTTCTTATCTTAACTTCATTTTTATTTCTTTTCTTCATTCTTCCGTTTCAAATTCTGACTTCTTTCATCTTCCCCACTTCACACAAATTGCTCAATATTCTATAAGTGGGACTTCTGGTCTGATAATTAGCATGCATTCTTTCTTTTATTTTTTCAAATTTCAGCTTCACTTATTCCTGAGCTTCAAATACTCATTTATAAAACTTGTCATATGACGACTTCCGCATTTTCCTTCTTCAACATTAACCTTAATAGAAAAAGAACAGGATGAAGAATATTTTAAAACTCCAGGATAAAATCCAGTGCTGAAACTAGAAAAAAATATCCCTTTTGTTGTTTTGGATTTAAAAAAAAACAAAAAAACCTAGAATATGCAGCTCAGAAAACCCAAACTACATAGTTTTCTGTTGGTTCTAGTATATGGTAATCAATTTCATTTATCTACTCTAAATAATTTATCATGCTTAAGTTGAAAGTGAAGTGCCCACTGAACATTTACTGTTCATTTAACATCTTAAGATCTGTATTTACATTTCACACTTCTTATTCAATAGAAAATGTTAAGTGTCAAAAGCACATCTTTAATTTAGTCAAAAAGTGGCACATTAATACAAAAGTGCAAGAAAGGAAAGCACGGACAAATTCATTTGTACAATGATGACAAAGGCTCAGGGTCTAAGAGGTCTACAATACTGTGACTTGCCAAGGTAGGACAGATAAAAGAATGTTATTTAATGTCACATTTTAATACTGTATATTTAGAAAAGCACTGTTAAGACATTGTCAGGGAACCCGACAATTTGGAACTGTAGATTTCAACCCATCCCCAGGAAACCTGCTCTAATGAAATTTTGTAATATAAACGGTCCAGTTACTAAATTTAGAACTAAAACAAGTCAACTACTATATGGCAGTAGCTATGAAGGAAAGCAGAGCAAATGACTCCAACAGTGGTACTTTCAAAGAATTCTGTTGTAAAATTTTGCCCTCAATGAACAAAATATCAGTATTCTGGATATTCAAGAGAAATTCTACTTTAAAAGGTGGCAATATTGAGAAAATTACAGCTCACCTCCTCACATAAAAGAATTTAGCAGATCAGTACATTTTAAATTTGTTGAACATATACATGCTAGTATTAATTGCCTAGAACATTCTAATTTTTCTCTTATCCTGCTTGCCTCTCCCCATTCGAAAATGATCTTTCATTTTACTGTGGATCATTTCCTCTCCTACATTTTCCCCTGGGAAAAAAAAATCAAGTTTTCTTAAAAAAAAAAAAAAGTCTTTATACCTAAGCATAAAGACAACCATGGCTTATCCTGGCAAGTGTTGTGATGTCTAATAAGTACAAGGATAATTTCCAGTCTAGTTGTAAAGTCAATTAATGTTTAATCTGAGAAAAAAATTAAATAGCTTTTTATTTAAGGGAGTCACAATAACTGGTTTTAACATCCATTACTAAAATGTAATGTTTGCTGGCAGCACTAATGTAATCGTGGAATCAGAATGCCCGAGCAGGTATCCTTAGGCCTCCTAAAAGATTATGAAGATACAGGGCGTAGATGCAGAAGATACTGGAATAGAGGCCAAACACTGATTATCATCATTCCAATCTGGACACGTTCCTGATATTTCATTACTCCTTTCCCACTTCTTCCTTCTGCTATGTTCTAAGAACAAAATCACTAAGTACCAGGCTTATTTTAACTCAGTTGCTAAAGTGGCCACTTTATAAAAAGTATATGACCGCCGGGGATTTAGCTCAGTGGTTCTGGTGCTTGCCTGGAAAGCGCAAGGTCCTGAGTTTGATCCCTGGTACCAAAACAAACAAACAAACAAAACAAAAAAACAAAAAACAAGTAGATGATCGATTAGGCTGTTATTACGAATTTTGGTTAAAAGACCCTACTTAAAAATAATCTTGTCCCGTAATCAACACGATTTTTGTTTGTTAAAAAAAAGTTTCTAGGGACCACCACTGGAGTCCATTTAACATTAAACATGTATGGCATATTTTGAGTTGTAATATTTTAATGGGAGAGGGGAAAAGAAAAAATCTTGCTATAGGAAAGGTCGATGGTCCTATCAGAAGAGTGGATAGAAAAAAATACTCAAAAGACTGAGAACAGCCTCTGAAAAAATCCATCTCACACGCCTAAAACATTTGTAAGCTGTTTTTAGGATATCTCTTGCAAAACAGCAGATCCTTAAATTTACATACACAAAACACTCAGTACTCTTCACTAAAACAAGTACGCTTTTTGATGTTTTCTGAGGACTATATTTTTACCTACCAAACAAAAAATTTTAAAGGAACAATGGGTGCCTCATCCAAGTTGTTAATATATGACAATCTACGTTGATAAAACTAACCTGAAACCTCCAAAACCCAATTCAAAGCAAAGGTTTTGGCAATTTGAAGACTAATTTGCTATGGTGAAGAACTTTTTTTGGCTTGCAGCTTAAAAATATAAAGTGATGACAATACCTAAAAACACTTAAGAGTTCCTAAACATCAATCACCATACCTTATAAGATAATAGTATTTTAATGTATAATCAGATCAACGTAACAAAACATGCTAAGGCTCAAGAGACATATACAACTGTTGTCTTTGTCTAGGGCAAAATAGGAACTTCAACTGTCAAAGTACACACAGTACTAACATTTACCACTCCTTTAACATATCTCTCTTGCCATCTGAATTCCTCTTCAAACTTAACAAAATCAGCAATACTTACCTTGTAATTTCAATTTGAAAAGCCACCTTCTAGCTCGACAATATCCACAATATTAAAGCATTGTTACTTAAACCAAAGAAAAGTATTTCAACCTGGTTGCAAGAGACTCATACCTAGCCATCCAGTGATACAAACAAAACAAAGCTAAACTATTTCCTCAAACTTCTAATTCTTTTTAAAAGGAATTTGGTGGGATGGCTACAACAATTCTTTAGAAAGAGGCGCTTCCGTTTTGAAAGAGAATTTAGTTACCACCTAACTACAGAACACCCCAAGATTAAGGAGAGAAAAACCGCAGAATTTTAAAGGCAATTTGATTGGATTCTATCCAGAAGCTATTTAACTTTTCAAAGAATAAAAGTGCCTGTGCTGTAAAACACACTGAGTGCACAAAAAATATTCTTTCAGAGCACCCGCTACTGTATTCTTGAAGTAGGCTCTCATTTGTACAAAATATAATCTCAGAGGACAGACTACTGTGTGGAAGACCAGAAAACATGCAAAAGTCACAGGCCTGTAGCTGTGACAATGTGAGGTTTTTTAAAGAGTTACTATCCCAATATTACACCTCTAAACTTGCTAACAAACTCTTATATTCTTATCATTCTAAATTGTGACATATGATTTAACTGCTAAGAGTGCCTCTTTTAAAAAAAAATAAAAGGTTGCCGGGGATTTCGCTCAGTGGTTCTGTCGCCTGCCTCACAAGCCCAAGGTCCTGAGTTTGATCCCCGGCTACCAAAAAGAAAAAGGTGTTCGTCAACTCCTTTACAAGATGTGAACCATTAATTTGAGATGAAATGATATTTTACTTTGTGCACAATTTGATCAGATTAGGGAAGCCAACTAACTCTACTATAAACCAACTGGTAAAAATACTAAATCTCACAGATAACTAAAGATGAGGAACACACAATGAATCACAGTTCTAAGTGTCAATATATTCACCCAATACTCTATTTGTGACCAAATCGAAGAGAAATCCATCCAACCTCAGAAGAAACTATAGTACTTTAAAGGGGTGGGAAACAACTCTTAAGAGTTACTAGACTGACAAATGAGGTCAGACCAATGAAATCCTTTTTCCAGGCTCCAGAGATGCTATTTGTGAGTACTATCTTGTTTTTTTAGCCCCTTTGGAACACAAGCACTTTCAAAGGGGATGGTTAGCTGGGCGTGGGCAACTCTAGTTCCAGCACTCAGGAAGCTGAGGCAAGTCTGCTTCAACTATGCAGTGAGACCCTGTCTTTAAAAAAAAAAATTTTTTTTAAACAAAAGGGAAGGTTAGCCAATCAGCCTAGGCAGCACTATTTTCTACCTTAAGTGTACAGAGCTAGGGCTTAAATTATCTTGTATTATTTTGAAACTGTGCCCTTCAACTTCAGGGTTTTGCCAGGTATAGTTTCAACTGTTTTCCCATCTTTTAAGTTACACCTAGGGCTAGGGATTTAGCTCAGTGGTGCTGCCGCCTGCCCGGAAAGCACAAGGTCGCGAGTCCGAACCCCAGTACCAAAAACAAACAAAAAAGTTACATTCAGAAAGCAAACACACTTTCACCAAACAATGTGCCTACTCCTTAACTTCAAAGTTTGGAAATCTCTTTCAGAAAGTCAAAGTACTTACACTGAGAAATACCACTTTTTAACAACGTTTTCCCCTCTTTTTCAATTTAGCAAGTTCCCACTCAGGATCGTGAATGAACAATTATCTTTTATTCGTATAAATAGGCCCAATTTTGAAAATTTCAAATTGTGGAGTGCATTTCTCTCCAGCTGTCTCAATCTGGGACCTTACTTCTTTCTTTTCTTAAGACTTTTATTTTAAAATCATGTGCTTCCCAGTCCAAAGACCGACTAGCTTCAACAATACATTCAAACTGGCACCTTGAGAGCTCAAATCAAACCCTTACCCTAACAAAGCAAAGAGTTTTTTAAAATTATGCATGGACTAGGAATACTTAAATCAATGACGGGGGGGGGCACTAAAATCTAAAAACCCAATAATCGCCTGCATACAGGGTAAGATCTGATTGGCTTAATTTGGTTTAATCAGATTGGGTTCCAAGTTTACTGAGGTACCGGAAGCAAACAAAGCTGTCTTAAAAAACCCCTTTCTTCTGAACCGTCTAAGATCTTTTTTTTTTTTAACAAGTTTGCAAGACCTTTGAATAGAATTACCTGACAAATTATATTCAGTCCTTCTGGTGGCCTACCAGATAGGGGAAACTTGCCAAGCAAAACAAAACCAACCAACCGAAAAGTTCTACCCAACTCATTCCCGTAAGCCTTAGAAACCATTTCTATTCCCTTTGTTCTAACAAGTTTTCCTTAACTTCCAAATAGTATTTTAGTAAGCCCTGTATTTTGCATCTTCATTCAATGCTACCCTAAGGGAAGTTACTGTATTTGCTAAGCTTACGAACTCTTAGTTCCGCAATTTCTGCATCGCGATCAACCCCAAAGACTCCGCCTTCACGGGGAAAGTTAAAAAGGCGTAGCTTCACGCGCGGCTCAGGCTCAGAAGATCTTCAAACAAAGGAAGCAACGGCGCCAATTTCTCCTTCATGACTCCAAGGAAAACCGTCTCCGTAAAACAATCACCCTTGCCATCTACTCTGATCCTAACAATGACATCTGCCCGGAAAGCCTTTTCGACATTAAAACATTCCACTTAGGACCAACACAAAGCCCGCATCTAGCCACTGCCAACTAACGGAACCGGGATGTACCGCATATCCCAAAGTGCCGCTACGACACCCTAGCTCTGGTCCCTTCCGGGCCCCGAAAAAGCCGCCCTTCGCACTCAGCTCTGGGCACCGGGTGGAAGCCCCTCCTCGCGCAGCCCGGGAGGCGCAGGCGCGGCCGCGGCGGTCGGGGCGGCGGCTCCGCCATTTTGTGCCGCTGGCTGCCCGCCCGGCCGCCAGCTCAAGATGGCTGCGGCGCGGCTTCGCAGGAGCAACGGCGAAAGCAGACGCCGCTCCCCTCCCCCACGCCGCGGGCACGAGCCGCCATTTTCACTCTTTCTCCCCATAACGGAAAAGCCGGCCGCCCCGGGACCCGGCTCCACGAATCTGCCAGCGCACTCGGTCAGGACTACGAAAGACATCTTCCAGAAAGGCATCCGAACCCGGTTTCCCACCCCCCCGGCTCACACTTCGGAGCCTGCTGTACCCCCGACTCCCGGCCCCAGGCCGATGGGCCTAGAAGGAGATGCAAAACGTTGGGACCACACAGCCGCCCCCTACACCAGCCTTCCGTACCCGTTCGCCGTAGTTCTGCTCGCCGCTATCGCTCATGACTCCTGCCTTGACGTCGCCGCTCGCTGGCTTCAATCGAAGCTGCCAAGCTCTCTTGCCTTCTCTATAGAGGCTTCGCCGCAGCTTGCAGGGCGATCAAGTTGCTCAGCCGCTCTGAGTCGAAGCGCTCCACACCACCTCCGCGCGGGCTCTAACTCCACCGGATGTGACGCGCCTCTCCTTAACTGGCTCCGCCCGCCCTCCGAACGCGCGCTTTCTCGGCCACGCCCCCTCGCTTATTCTTCCACCCACAGCGGAGCGTCCCGAACCCGACGTGACGTTGCCCCGCCCCCTCGCGCGGCCCCGCCCCTGCCTCTGGGCCTCTGTGAGGCGGGAAAGCGAGCATCCGCCGATTTCCGAGGCGGTCGCCACGCAGCGCATTGACGACACCAGCCACGCCTGGCTGCCTTCTGGAACTTTCCGCCGAAACCTTCCGGGGTGGGGGGTGGTAGGAAATGGCCTCCGTTTCCCTCATCCTTCATTCTTTTTTATGCCTTATTAGTTTGTCTCGTTTTGTGCTTTTCCTTGAGGGAAGAAGGTAGACCTTCATGTGCTGGCTTCCTGCTTCACTTTGTATTTATCTAGCCTTTAGTTGCAGAGCTTTCCTTCCTGAACAAACCTTCATTTTTAAAAAAACCAGATACTTTACACAGAATTAGACACAAACTGTTCTGAAAATAGTTGTAGTCCGGTAAGAGAGGACTGTTAAATACACACGTACGAACTATGACTTTTCAGTGCTGGAGGCAGGGACAATTTCAGTGGTGTTGCAAAGAAAAATTAATTTTGCCGACACCCACGATCCGGAATTTGGAATCGCGCCCCTGAGCCTTCTGCATTTCAGTGTGGCCAAACGTTTTAAAAGAGGGGGACCTGGGTAGTTAGGGACTTTGATACTCCTAAAAGGCCATTTCAATTTTTTAAAGAAACAGCTTTCTTGGTTTCGGGGAGTAGCTCAGTGGCAGAGCCCTTGCCTAGCATGCGTGTGGCCCTGGGCTTAACCCTCACTGTGGCAGTTAAACAACAGCTTAACTGAGCTATAACTCGCAAAAAGAAACAAACGTTCCCCTCACTTAAAATATGCAATTCCGGGGCCGGGGATTTAGCTCAGTGGCACCGCGCCTGCCTTGCAAGCACAAGGACCTGAGTTTGATCACCAGTACCAAAAAAAAAGTTTTTGTTGTTGTTTGGCGGCACCAGGGATCGACCCATCTGAACGGTTTTTAATATGGTCACAGGATAATACAGCCATCAACACAATTTCAGAACAGTTTCAGCAGACGGAAACCTGTACTCATTAATAGGCATGAGGTGGGTGAGGCAGGGTCTCTGTGTAGTTTAGGCTGGCCTCCCAGCGATCTTCCTGCCTCAGCCTCCTGAGTGCTGGGATTACAGGCATGCCTTACCACGCCCAGCATTAATAGGCATTTTTAACCCCTCATCCCTTCCAGCCGGTCCATAGATGTACTTCATCTGGACAGTTCCTCGTGGTGGTGCACACCTGTAATCCCAGCACTCGGGAGTCTGAGTCAGGAGAATCGCCTCGAGTTCGAGGACAGCCTGAGCTACATGATGAGTTCAAGACCAGCCTGAAGTAAATAGGGAGATCCTGTCTCCCAGAAAAAATAAATTTAAAAAATTTAAAAACCAATAAATGAGGGGCCAGAGATTTAGCTCGGTAGTTCCGCCGCCTGCCTTGAAAGCACAAGATCCTGAGTTCGATCCCTGGTACCAAAAAACCAATAAATGAAAGAGACAAGAGGGCCAACAGCTATCCCAGGCGCCCCTCGTGCTTCCCCTTGCCCCCCTCCAATATACTGGGACAACTCGCTTGCTGTCCTCCCTGGCTATCTAGTGGTGTCCTCCCCTGTCATCTAGCAGCCATTCTTCACATCACTCCTGCATAGTGCAGGGTCCTCCCCCCCCCACACCACTACATTGGCTACTGTAGCCTTGCTGAAGAAGGGGGTCATCCTGGTGTGACTAAGGCCAGGAAAGGACGGTCTGGGCCCATTGTTAACACCCCCAACCCCCACAGCTGGCCTTCCAGAAGAGTCCCTGGTCTCAGCTCTGCACCCTCACTGGATTGCTGCTGTGACAGCTGAGGCTGTCCTGGAGCCCTGAACCAATCACAGGCCTGCAGCTGCTATATAAACAGCACTCTCCACACATTAGTCTAGGAGGACTCTTTCCAGAGTATTGACCCTCTCTCCGCTGCAGCACAAGCCCTGCTCAAGACTTGCTTTGGGGGACCTGTAAACCTGCTCCTGGTTTATTTCCTGGGTAGTGTGAGCTCCATCAGTCCTGGAAACCTCAGGATTCCTGTCCTGGGTAGTGTGGACAGGGCAGTCTTTTCAAAAGAAAGAGCACTAGAGGGGCTGGGGATTTAGCTCAGTGGTTCTGCCACCTGCCTCACAAGTGCAAGGACCCGAGTTCGATCCCTGGTACCAAAAAAAAAAAAAAAAAGCACTAGGAGGGATGGAGGGGTTGAAGGGAGGACAGGGAATGAGGAAAAAAATAAGAACCAAGATACATCATGTACAGGTACAAGTTCCCAATGATGAAAGTAAATGTAGTGTACACCTAAAATGTACCAATAAAAGAATTTAAGGGGAAAAAAAGAAAGAGCAATAAATACTAAGGACTGTTACTACTGAGGATTCCCAAGGCCAGCAGCCATCTCAGCAGCACAGCAGCTGGCAGTGTCAACTGATGGCACCAAGGTGTCCAGGGTCACCAGGAGCCATCAGGTTGGTGTGCTTCTTTGTAACTGGCTTCCTTGACTCAGAATGTTTTCAAGGATTACCCATATTGTAAAATGTTCCAGTATCTCATTCCTGTTTGTTCTCAAATTATTTTCTAATGTATGACTATCTCACATTTTATTTCTCCAGTCTTCATCTGATGGACTTTTGGGTAGTTTACTCTTATGAATAGAGCTGCTATGAACACTCATATACATGTTTTTTAAAAGCATGTTTTCACTTTTTTTTTTTTTGGTACCAGGGATTAAACTCAAGACCTTGTGCCTGCAAGACAGGTTCGGCACCACCGAGCTAAATCCCCAGCCCCAGTGTTTTCACTTTTGAGTATGTTCCTAGGAATGGAATGGGATTGTTAGTGTGATAGAACACAATGAGTCTGCCCTTGTTGAATGCAAAGACAGTAAGAAAGGTGGAAGATAAAAGAGCAAAGGAAGTTTTATTACTTGCAGTAAGTATGGAGAGCACTGGGAATATTCTCCAACAAAGGAAGTAAGAGAATTTTATTAGGGAGACTTATGCATATGTATACAACAGAGATTTGTCATCACCTGTGGAGACAAGTCTTTGTTCATGTCCAATTCAAGCTCATGTATTGCAGGTTTGAAAAATGACTGTAATCCTAGCACTCAGGAGGCTGAGGCAGAAGGATCACTGGATGCCAGCCAGCCTGGGCTACCTAGTGAGTTCAAAATAAGCCTGAACTACCTAATGAGACCCTTTCTCAAAAAAAAAAAAGCCAATTGGAACAGCTCAGGGCAAATAATTTCGCATTATGAGATGATAACCTGGAGATCATCTAGGAGAGAGATTGGGTAGTTTAAACCGGTTAGTGTGGTCCTTTCTGAAGGAGCTCTTTTGAAAAAGGAAACAGGGCCAGGGATGTAGCTCAGTGGTTTCGCCGCCTGCTGCGCAAGCACAAGGACCCGAGTTTGATCCCTGGTACCAAAAAAAAAAAAAAGAAAGAAAAAGAAAAAGGAAACAACTTGGAAGAATGTTAGCAAGAAGTAGCACCCCTCCACCAAGCACAAGTACCTAATCTTGTAAATCCTTGCCTAGCAGCTAACATCAGGTTGTGTATTGTAGAGTAACTCTATGCTAACTTTTTTTTGGTTTTTGTAGTACTGTACTGGGGATTGAAGCAAGGTCTCCAGCTCTGTTTAAAACTCTTGTTATTTTTTTTGGGATAGGGTCTTGCTTAATTGCCCAGGTTGGCCTCAAATCCACCATCTTCCTACATCAGCCTCTTGAGTAGCAGGGATTACCAAATCACTAAACTGTTTTCCATAGCAGTAGCATTCATCTTACATTTTACCCAGCTCCCATCAGTGTATGAAGCTTCTAATTTCTCTACATCTTAGCAATACTTACTTTGCACTTAAAAAAAAATCACCTTAATGGGTATGATCTGGAGATACCCATTAGGTATCTCCTTGTGATTTTGTTTCTTTTTTTTTTTTTTTTTTTGGTACCAGTGATTGAACTCAGGTCCTTGCGCTTTCGAGGCAAGCGCTGGAACCACTGAGCTAAATCCCCAGCCCTCTTGTGATTTTGATTTGCATTTCTTTAATAATAATGATGATGATGATGATGATGATGATGATGATCTTTTCATGTATTCATTGGCCATTTGTAGATCTTATTTGAAGAAATATCTATTTTGATACATGTCTTTTAAACATTTTTAAAATTTATTTTATTTTTGGTTTTTTGAGACAGGGTCTCACCATGTAGTTCCAGGTGGCCCTAAACTCACAGTGATCTGCCTGCTTCAGCCTCCAGAGTGCTGGGATTACAGGGGTATGCCACCATGCTTGGCTACTTGCCTTTTTTAAAATCAATACTGGGATACCCGGGTGTGGTGCTGCATGCCTGTAATCCTAGCACTCTGGAGGCTGAGGCGGCTGGATCACTGTGAGTTTGAGGCCAGACTGGGCTATACAGTGAGTTCAGGGCCAGCCTGAACTACAAAGGGAGACTCTGCCTCAAAAAACAAAAAACAAATCAATACTGGGAATTGAACCCAGGGCTTTGCACTGAACTGAATCCCCAACCCTGTTTTTATTTTTTTTTTATTTTGAGAGAAAGTCTTGCTCAATCACTATACCCAATCTGCTTAAATTTGCAAAATCCCCCTGTCTCAGCCTCCCAAAATGCAGGGATTATAGGCGTGTGCCACCACGCCTGACTTCCCCAAACCTTTTCAGAATTTTATGATGAGACATGATCTTCCTAAATTGGCCAGGTTGGCCTTGAACTTGTTAACCTCCCGCCTCCACCTCCTGCACAGCTGGGATTCCAGTTGTGTGATTACTGAACCTTATCTTTTCCTCTCTTCCACTGCCACCATTTAGCAAAGTCTCTTTAACTCATATATCTGTACTACTGC